TTTCTCTTTAATGCTTCTAGATGTATCGAATGTGCAAGGTGAGCACAGTTCCCTGGACAACATTCATGAATTACAAGAAGTGCTTTCACAACCCGGTGTTAATAAGCGATACGACTCCCTCCGAGTTCAACACAACGGCCTGCACACATTAGGCATCGCCACTCCATTGTCTACAGCACTACAACACATCACTTCCCTTACCGCCTCTCATAATCGAATCAGTACTCTGCAGGGTGTGGATGCATTTCCATGTGTAGAAGTACTGGATTTAAGTTATAATGCCCTACGGGTATTGGATGCACACTCTACATCCTTATTACGTCGATTACGGCGATTACGATGTTGTGATTTCTCTCATAATGAAATACGATTGATTGATTTAGAGGCTACTTCTCGTTCAGGTAGTATTTGGAATGATTCTCATACAGGAGATGGGGGTAATACTGCTCTGATGTGGGAAGAACTGGTGGAACTCAACATTTCACACAATCAACTCATTGAATTACCAGATCTTCGTTGTATGCCTTTATTAGAGGTACTTCATCTTGAACACAATCGTATTGAGTATATTAATGATATTGATAGCCATATTCCTTTATTGGCTCTTCGTTCTCTTTCTATGGCTTACAATATGTTGAGTTCATTACAACATCTAGTTCCTCTCACCGTATTTGCAGAAACACTTAAGAATTTAACGTTAAAAGGAAATCCTTGTGTAAGTGATACCAATTCTACTGCTACCTCTACTTCTACTGTTGCTACTACTACTACTACTACTACTACTTCTACTTCTTCAACTAATAATGTTGTTGTTGGTGGTGTTCCGAGTAAAAGCAGTATACGATCATGGTTATTATGGCTTCTACCACATCTTGAGACAATTGATAACATTGCAATTACTTCAGAGGAACGACACATAACGGCACACCTCTTTAGACATCAAGGTGAACTGAGCTATGATGCGATGGAGGTAATGAATAGTCATCATGGAACTCAATTGGAGGTATATCTTCAGAAATTTAACCCTCCACAAAATATGCATTCATCTGTTGATTCTCTATTAGGAGTCAAAAAAGAATCTACTATACATAATGCCTCATCTACTGTTGCTAATACTACTAATAATAATTTAGTAAACAATGCGAATACACCAGCTCCATCTTTAGGAGGCATGACAGCTCGTTTACCAGCTAGTCCCAGTGTATCTGCGAGCTTAACAAGTAATCCTACTCGACCAATCTCTATAGATCTCGTTCTTCAAATGATGCAAAAGAAATTAAAACAATTATCGGATGTTATGGAGGTTTTGTGGAAGGAAAGTATGGCTAGACGTGTATTTGCTACTATTGTACTACAAAAGTACACTCGGGGATTTCTCACACGTTTGCATATTCCTCCAGCAGTTCAAAGAGTTTGCGCACATATTAGAGAAAAATTGTACCGTCATCGACGAAGACGTTTATTTCTTCAATATCCTCTCTTATCGTTATTGTCACAACAACAACAACAACAACAACAACAACAGCAACAGCAGCAGCAACAACAACAACAACCATCTGTGAATAATAATAGCAGTAATAGCAATAGCAGCAATAATAATAATAATAATAATGCTGAAATAGTGAGACAATTTAGAAATTTTGATTCTCAATTACGTCACATGTGGACGGAGATGAATGAATTTCAACGTTTATTGGCTCATAGAAAAAATGCTGCAGCCATTACAATACAGAAATATTATCGTGGTTACAGAGATCGAAAAGAATGGCGACAACTAAAGGAATCTTATGATGGATTTGTTGCCTCTTTACGACCAGATATTGTGGTTCTTCAACGTGTATGCCGAGGCTATCTCGTGCGTGGAAAACTCAGACGGCGATATATGCAAACCGATGAGTTGCGTCTCTTGCGAAGAGAAGTGGCTGAACTTCGGCAAACCGTTCATGATATGCAGTCTTTTATGCAGCAGACAATGCGCCGACAGCGACTGGATCGCTACACAGATCCGGAAAAGGCAATGGAGGAGATTATTGCTAGACACACTGTACCACGAACAGACTGTCTCAGTGAAGGTGCTGCTGCAGTATTGAGAGAAGAAGAAGAAGCGGAAAGCGTGAAATCAGAATCACTTTCTTCTGTACCAGAGGAACTTTGATGGATGATCTTTTATAGAGAATTTTTACAAGGGAATATTGGATACACACACACACACACAGAGTAATATATATATATATATATATATATATATATATATACTCTTGGGATAAAACTCAAGTGTATCATTGTATGGGCGCCAAGAGGAGAGGTGGTAGAAGAAAGAGACACAAAAGAAATGCCTTTTTTTTTTCTTTTCCTTCTTTTTTTTTTTCTTTGTTTGTTTGTTTCTTCTGTGTAATATGCATATGATCTTCTTTCTTGTTGTTCTTTTTTATTTTTCTTTTTGAATTTCTTTCCTCTTTCTGCAAAGGGAGACGGGTTGGGAGAGAAAGAAAGAGAGAGAGAGAGAGAGGGATTATAAAAAACAGCGGAGGAGTAACGGAATTAGTTATGGTAGCCACACTACATCATAACCCAATCCCAAGGACTAGTAACTTCTATGAAAACAGTTTCAAGCAGCTTAGTGATATTCAACAGAAACAAACAGGACTCATTATTGGAGCTGCAGTTGCCGATGCGGCGGCTCGTGCACTTGATGGTTTAACCGCAGAAGAAATTTCTGCCTATGCGGCAGATTTCCCTGCAGATATAAAACATGGCGAAGAAGAATCTATAGTGTTTGCGCAATTGACGGAATCCTCTCCACATAATCGCCGCTTCTCTGGACCCCTTCGTCACCACTCGTATACATGTTTACTGATGTTACAGTTACTTGGTGTGATGGCGAGTTCCCGTGGGGAGTTCTCTGTGCGTTATGTGAAGAATGATTGGGTTTCCGCCGCCCGTGCACATCCCAGTTGCTTTGCGGCTGAACATGCATCTCTTCTGCATGTTTTGGGTGTGTTATTGCCGTTACCGGTGATTTACCCATGGGCAGATGATACCACACTGCGAGAGTATGCAGCGCAGTTTGTGGACTTTCTCACAGAACCCCCAGAAGAAGAAGAGGAAGTGAATCTATCCGAAACAAGAATAACAACTCGTAAAGGGGTAGAAGCATATACATTCTCTTCATTAGGTGTAGCGCTGCGGTGTTTGCAGAGTAATCCCAATCCCTACAGGAATGCAGCTTTTATGGCAGTACCAGGAACCGCAGATGTGTTCCCAGATGATATTGCACAGCTTTCCTCTTCACATGCAAAAGAAAAGATTCCACTTCTTAGTGTTAGTGCATCTGCTAATCATTCACTTCCAGCAATTGCAGCAGACACTATGGCCCGTATGCAGATAAAGAATAACACCACCCCAATTAACATTAGTGATCATTGCCGTAGTCATATACATTCAACTCCTCGTTTTCCTCTTCGTCCATTAACACAGGATGTCTCTGTGGTTCGTGAGAGTTTTATTGTAGCGAAGAAGGCTCGCAGTTTCTCTGATGGCGTGAAGGCCGCCATTCGCCTTGGAGGGCCTGTCAGTCAACGCAGTCTCATCGTTGGGGCTCTACTCGGGGCTCAATTCGGGGTGCGGCGGATCCCAACAGCGTGGCTCAGTGCGACCCACAACTATGGACCACTAGTGACAATGGCAATGGAGGTGGCACAGTGGAGCTGGAACCCTCCACATCATTAATGAAAACAAGAAAACAAAGAAGAAAAGAATGATGAAAAGAAAAAAAAAAAGGAAAAAGCGTTAGAGGTGTGTGAAGCAATAAGAGAAACGTTTTTTTTTTTTTTTTTTTTTTTCTTTTCTTTTTCTCTTGATCTTTGTCTTGTCTTTTATCTGCGGCAGCTGCTGCTAGACATCGCTTAGGTCAATTTTTCTATCTTGGAAATTTACAAATTACTCTTGTTACTGCTTTTATTATTACTACTATTACTACTGCTGTATATTTGCGTATTCTTTTCTTTTTTCTTTTTTTTTATTTATTTCCCTGGTAAAAAAAAAAAAAGCTTTTCTCTTGTTTGTGTTAGTTCTTTTTTTTTTTTTTGATAGAAAGAACACAATAAAGGAGGAGAAAACATAGCGAAAGAAAGAAACACAAGAGAAGAGAGGGGAATCGTCATTTGGTAAACCCACTCCATATATATATATATATATCCCTCTCTCTTTCTCTCTCTCTCTCTGTATCCCTCTTTCTCCCATTCCTACCAACTACTCTTTTAAAAAAGAAAAGACTAGTATATATATAAAAGAAAACGATGAATGTGACAGTACCTCATCGGACGGGATCTGCACCACGCCGGACGACGGCTCGATTTGTGAAGAGTCCGCAAAGTCCACGCAGCGGTCGGGCATCCCGAACTTCTCTGACGCTGCCTAGTATCTCCGCAGCCCCACGACACAGTCTAGTTTCAGCCGTGCCGAATAAAGCCCTCTCTCGACAAAAACGACGACAGCGTGATGCGGAAATTGTGCTGGAAGAGGGTGTACATCATATGAGTGGTGTGAATGCGCAGGAGACATTAGAATCATTAGTGAAAGTTGTACAACTTCGTCGTCATGGTTCTGTTACACCACGAAAAGGGAAACCATTATGGGAACGTGTTCAAGCTATTGTTGTAATGGCTAATCAAGAGGGTCTTCGTCGACTACATATGGCAACTCCACCGGAGGAAGTTCGTTTTTTCTTTGATAACGCCCTCGCTTTATTAGAACCACCTCCTAAACCATCTGTAGAAGGAGTTGTAGATGAATTCGCCACCCAACCTGCACTTCGAAAGTATTTAACAGGAGCAACTTTAAATAACAAGGCATTTTTGCAGCATATGGCAGGTGATCCTCCTCAAGTTGTTATTGAAACCCTTTTACGTGCTTTAAAAGTACAAGGAGGTGTGTTTACAACCTTAACATTATATAATTTGGCTGTTATGATGGTATCTACTCGTTGCTTTGATAAAGCCAGTGAATTTATTGCGTGTTGTAGTAAAATGATAGAGGAATGTGTAAAATTGGCCATGCCGGAATCTCATGGAGGGAAACCAATCTACTCTTTATTTCTCACTAATGTTGCCAAACATGCTATTATGTGTCATCACCTTGTGGCTGCTGTTGCTTCTTGGAGTAGATTACGGGATGTGGAAGTCTATCACTCTCAACTTGCCCTTTGCTGTGCGGAACGGTTTCTCGGTTCTCAACACCCACTCACACTACGCTGTTCTAGACGACTGACCGCCGCATTGGATGATAGCGGGGCAGTGTTAATTGATGAAAGTACACCACCACGAGTACCAATGTTAACAGACGATCTCACGCTTACAGAGGATTCCTTAACAAGTGTACTTTTACAAGTCGCAGATACAGTAAAACTTCCTCAAGGCTTTGTCCGCCGTATGACGACTACAAAAGGTGATAAAAAACGTAAAAGCAGTAGTAAAGGTAGGAAGAAATCATCATTACGTGGAAGTCAACAATTACCCAATATTAGAGAAAGACGTCATCTTACTCGTAAAACACCATCACCACATCCACCGCTATCATCATCATCACGTCCACGTATTTATTCACCAGGGAGCCGTCGTGGATTGAGAGGGACTATGGTACCCAAACCACCACCTGTCTCTATGGCTGCCATGATGGAATCCTTTAGGAAGGAACGTTCTGTATCACCGACGAAGAGTGAGGGAGTTTATTCCTTAAGTTCAGGGGAAAGTGATGAAACACCTTCAGTGCTTACATTTGTACCTAAACCAGCTTACTATTGTTATAAACATATTCGAAAAGAGATGCGGCAATTAATGACAGGTCTAGGAGAAGAGATGAGTCGTATAGCTGGTAGTACTGTTACTCCTCCTGAGTTACATAGATCACAATCCTTATCATTATTTGAGGCTGCCTTTGGTGAAAGTAGAACAGTTACACCAGATCCTAAAGAATATATGGTTATTATGGATAAAAAATTACGTCGACTTTCTAGACTTATACCAGATAAACATTTTGATGACCTTATTAAAGGTATACTTTTAGTACAAAGTCATTGGCGAGGGATTGTAGACCGCCGTAAACACCAACAAATTGTGTTAAGGTTAAAAGAAGACATGATTCGTCGAGAAGCTGCAGAGAGAATTCAATATGCATATCGTACACATCTTGCTGTACGTGATGCTATTGAAGAAAAGAAAAAACTTCGAGCTCATCGTATTATTGTTAATAGGGTTATACTTATTCAACGATATCTATACGAAAAACAAAGTGTAGAAGAATGGGGTTTACGTTGTGCAGAAGCATATCGACGAAGAATTGCTGAAAACTTAGAAAAAAGAAGACGAAATGCTGCTGCTATCCGTATACAATCATGTTGGAGAATGTGTAGTCAACGAATTAAAATTCATCGTATCCTGAATGCCGTTATTCGTATTCAATCCTTATGGAGAGGATATAAAGGACGAATGTATGCACGGGAACAACGTGTTTATCGTCGTTTAAAAGAACAGGAACGTACAGCTGAACTCACAATACATGCAAAACCTGTTCAAATTAGGTGGAGAAAAATATTAGCTGTACGTGCAGGAAGAGCTATAGTGGCAGAACGACAACGAAAGATATTATTGTATTTAGAAGAACAAGAGGCAGCCTTCCAGAAAGACTGGGAACGCATTAAACAACATCCAAATGTAGAGTTATGTATGATAAAAGTTTTATCGGTACTTCGTGGTTTCCGTTGTCGTTTGGAGTGTGCTCATCAATATAAACAAATGAACATCCTTCGTCGATTTTTCCTAAAGTTGGTATTAAAAAATCGTGGTAAACATCAACTTTCACTTTTACGTGAAGAACGAATGCAAGAACGGGCATTACGCCGTAGACGTGAAGAAGTAACAGATGCTGCTATTCGTATTCAATGCTGTGTACGCCGTTGGCTTTCTTATAAACAAAGACGAGAGTTGTGGGGACAATGGCAGTGGTTACATCACCAGGCCTATGTTATTCAACGGGCCTATAGACGTTATCTTGGTAGACGATTGTTGATGGAAATGCGCATGGAGGCAAAACTAAAGGAGGAGGAACGATTGATTGCACAACTGCTGCGATATGCGGCTTCCAAGATTCAAGCCACTTGGCGAATGTATAATGAACGTCAATCACAAAAAGATTATTTACAATTTATGCGAAAAGATCGACACCTCTTCGCTATACGCATTCAAAAGGCTTGGTTAGCATATAAGGCACGATGTGAGGTACACTGGCGAGAGAGGAATCGCATTGAAAGAGAACGATTTGAACAGCGACGACATCAAATGATGATGGCTGCTGTTCACATTCAATCTGCTGCACGTATGTTTCTCACACGGCGTATGTTATTAGAACAGGGAATGGTGTTAAAACCCACACCTGCTAAATTACACCGCAGTGCACGATCTATACAATGCGCCTGGCGCCGTTTTGCGGCTTACGAATATGTACAGCAACTCCGCTTCTCACGGGCTTATTATGATCAGCAGAAGGTGAATGTGGAGTCTCTTAACACATATGCCACGATGATACAGGCACTGATCCGTGCAAAAATATTAAATCCACCTCTAGTGGAGATGCGACAACGTGAGATTGAGTCTGAAACTGAAGAAGAGCGAAAGAAACGTGGAAAGAAACTTGAAGATATGTATAATGCTATTTTGGCCCAAAAGGCCTTACGACTCGCACGTGGGCTTCGGCAATCACCAGACGTCCCAGCACGTTTGGAAAATGAAGATAGTGTACGAGCTGCTGCTGCCATTACTACATCTACTACTGCTTCTTCTTCTATTGTTAATGATGCTGATGATTCCAGTGAAACAGGAATGAAAGGTGTGGATATAGAGGAAGTGACTGAATTACTTCAGCGCTGTGGACGTGGATTAATAACCCGTCGTGCTTTATTTATTGAATTATGTGATCAACGTCTTGCAGAACTGGAAATGGAGGAATCTAGTAGTAGAGTGGATATACTACATGCATTCCAAGAATCTATTGCTCTATTAGAAGAAGAAATACCAAAGTTTACCCCTAAAGAAAGTAAAGAAAATACAGTAGATACTACTTCTATAGCTATGGATGCTGATGATGATAATATCAGTAGAGAAGGAATGAAAGATGTGGATATGGAAGGATTGGCTCAATTACTACAACGTTGTGGAAGAGGTGCAATAACCCGTCGTGCTCTTTTTATGGATCTATGCGATAAACGTTTTGCTGAACTGAGTATGGAGGAGGCTACTAGTAGAGTAAAAATATTATATGCATTCCAAGAATCCTATACAGTGTTGGAAAATAGTGTACCTGTGTTCATTCCATTATCTCCTGATGATGCCCAAGGTAATGCCCTGAGTACTAGTTCTATTGTTACTCCACCTGCTGAAGAGGATAATGATAATGATAATGATGATATCAGCAATAGTGCAGAAATGAAAGAAGGGGATATGGAGACAGTGGTTCCATTACTACAACGTTGTGGACGGGGAGCCATAACCCGTCGTGATTTATTTAAACAACTGCGTGAGTCTCTTCGGTGGAGGGCGGCTGTGGATATTCAGCGTATATGGCGTGGCTTCTGTGCGCGGCAGCTTATTGAGGTTTACTATGAGTTCTGCGAGAAGGAGATTGTGACGGAGGTTTTGCGTATTCCATGTGAAGAAGAGGAAGAGGAAGAAGAGCAAAGTTAATACTAATACTAATAATAATAATAATGATAATAGTAATAATAATAGTAAAGATAAAGAGGGGATAAATGTGGAGATTCCTCAGAAATCCGTAGATGTGCAATCTACACAGATAGTCACATGTATCTTTTTGTGTATGTATGTCTTTAGGGGGAAAATAATGCTGAGTATGTCTCTTTGTTGTGACTATCACTATTATTACTATTATTATTATTATTATTATTATTATTATTATTATTATTATTATTATTGTTATTATTATTGTTTTTTTTCTCCCCTATCCTCAGATGTAAATCAGTCAAATAGTGTCTTCTTTGTTTTTTGTTTTTTTATGTTTGTTTGTTTCTTCTTCCTTTTTTATTATTATGTTTCTCTGTTGATTGGAATCGTGGAAAGTACTTCATTTCATGTATATTCTTTTCTTTCTGAGTGTAAGATGTTTATAATACATTTTTATTGTAGAGGATATACATTATACACCCTTCTCTTTATCTATATTTGTATTTCTATTTATTTATTTGGTTTTTTTTTTTTCTTACTTTCATTCTGTATGTGTTTATTTTATCATTATACCTGACCATACTTGTGACCTTTTATATATTTTATTTCTCTTTTTATTTCTTTTCTTTTTTCTTTTCTGTGTATATGTATAGTCATTTTTTTTTTTTTTTTTGTTGTTCACTTGGACGTGTTATTACCAATCATTTATTTATTCTCTCTGAGAAACGCACAGACAGAAGACGAGAGGGCGAGAGATAGAATTAACGTGCGAAAGAGAGGACTTTTGTATATATATAGAAGTATATATATACAAACATACATACATATACTTACATACAGTTTCTCTGTCTGTGTGAAGAAAGAAGAAAAAAAGAAAAGAGAAGTGACTGGTGTTGAGTAGCAGCAGCAACAGCAGGAAACACCAGAAGGAAAAGGAAGAAGAATAGAGAATTAGCAACAAGGCATACAATCAAAACAAAGAAATAAAGGAAGAAGAAGAAGAAGAAAGGGGTGGAAAAAAAAAAAAAGAAAGAAAGGAAAGGAAAAAAAAAAAAAACGAAGAACTATAGCAACTAGAAGAAGAAGAAGAAGGAAAAAACAAAGAATAGCAAAGAAAAGACAGTAATATATTCTCTCTATTGAAAATATGGATCGTGATCGCTACCGTGGTGATGAGGAGGATGAAGAGGATTATCTCCCATTCGAGGGAATTGATAAATCCACCGCATTACAACAATGCCGTGTATTTAATGATGTTCGACTGGATATCTCCGCCTGTGTGCGGGCCATTACACAGTGTTTATATCTTCTCTCTACAGGGACAACACTCACAGAGGCGGAGGCCACCGATCTATTCTTTATGTCTACCAAACTCTTACAATCAACAAATCCAAAACTACGTCGATTATTATATGTGTTGATGAAGGAGTTAAGTCCATTAGTGGAACAACGCTTTATCGCATCTAATTCACTTATGGTAGATATTAAAAGTAACAATGATGCCAGTAAGTGTAATGGTATCCGTACACTTTATAAAGTAATGAATAGCAGTCTATATGCATCTATGGATCGCACCATTGTGGAAGCCCTCACTTCACAGAGCAGTAATGTAGTCTGTGCGGCTCTAGTCACTGCACTGCATATTGCTCAAGTAAATCCCGATATGGCAAAGAAGTGGGGAACACAACTAACAGAAGTTGTGCGTAGTTGTGGGAAGGCACAGTATGTCGCTATTGCACTTCTACACAAGATGCGAAAGAATGATCGACTCTCAGTAACTCGACTTATTGATCAGGCAAAGAGTGGTCAAATACGATCTCCATTGGCATTATGTTTACTTATTAAAATATGTACGGAATTAATGCGTGAAGATTTTGAAGGATCTTTGGATATTTATAAATTTGTAACTTCCATGATGCATAATAATAATGATTTGGTGGTTTTTGAATCTATTAAATCTATCTGTTCTTTACGTAATATTACAGCAAAGGAGGTTTCACCTGCTGTGATGGTTGTTCATCTTTATCTTAACGCTCAGAACTCTGTTCTCCGCTTTTCTGCTATTCGTTTATTAAATGAAGTGGCTACTTTACATCCCGCAGCTGTATCTCCCATTAATGCAGAGATTGAAAACCTCGTAACGGATCCTAATCGTATTATTGCCACTCTCGCTATTACTACATTACTAAAAACAGGTACAGAGTTTACTATTGAACGTCTTATTACGCAACTTTCCTCCGCCAGTTATTTACGTGAATTAGGGGATGAGTTTAAAATGGTCATTATTGATTCTATGCGTGTATTAAATGCAAAATTTCCTTCCAAGTATAATTTATTTCTTGGATTTCTCTCCAAGGCCCTCACGGATGAGGGAAGCAGTCAATTAAAAGAAAATGTTGTGGATGTTATCATGGAAATTGCGAAATCTAATCCAGAATCAAAGGAATCTGTCATGCGACACCTTGCGGAGTTTATTGATGACTGTAATTATCCTCAAATTGTGCGACGTGTATTAATGTATCTTGGAGAAGAAGTTCCCCATACGGAGAATCCAAAGATGTTTGTACGCTATGTCTACAATCATGCCACTCTTGAACGTCCGGAGATTCGAGCAGTAGCGGTGAGTACGTTAGCAAAGTTGGCCGCACGTGTACCATCGCTACGACGATCTATCGTTGTATTGTTAAAACGCACATGTAATGACACCGATGATGATGTGCGGGATCGTGCCGTCTTCTACACACGACTGTTTTTATCCAATAATGAAGAGGCGATCAACAGCATGGTATCAGAGGTGGCCCACACCGTAGCGGCTAGACGAAAAGCCCGCATGGCCGCGACTGCCGCCGTTAATAATAAAGCCTCTGTGTTAAATGCTACTGGAGATGATATCACTATGCAGAAGACGGCGGCGCTGGCGGCGTCTCTTACCGGTGAAGAGAAACCCCTCTTCTCCCATGCGGTCCTGCAGGGACGTGAAAAGATGCGAAGGATCAAACAATTGATGGAACTCGGGGAACCCTGCTGCAGCAGTGAACCAGTGCCATTGACAGATCCCGACAGTGAGTATGTGGTAACGGTGATGAAACACGCCTATGTCTCCCACATGGTTCTGCAGTTTAGAGTGAAGAACACAATGGAGAAGATCACATTTCGTAATATCTCTATTGTGGTGGACACCGATGAGGTGGAGGTGGAGCCACTTTATGTGATTCCCATTTATGCTGTTTCCCCAGGGGCGACGGAGTATGGATATGTGGTGCTTGCGTATGAAGAGGAACAGTTCCCGAGTGGAGAAGTGGAGTGTCGATTTAAGTTCGCCATGCAGGAAGGCGATGACTTTGACGCCAGTACTCATAGTCATAATAATAATAATAATAATAATAATAATAATAATAATAATAATAATAATAATAATAATAATAATAACAGGCAATTAACACCGGAGGAAGAAGAGGAATTGGAGGAATATCCATTGGAGAGTTTTGACATTAATGTTAGCGACTTTATCACACCCGTCAATCTCGCCGGGGGATTTGAATCCCAATGGGAATCTATGCAAAACGAAGAAACCACCGGCACTTATTCATTAAGTTCAATGCGCAACTTAACCGTCGCCGCACGGGAGTTGGTCGCCTTCTTTGGAATGTACGTGGAGGGCGGAAAGCCGGAAAAGATCACAAGTGCCTCCCATACATTATTGATGTCTGGCACAATGGCGAATCGTGATCGCTCGTTGGTGTTAATTAACGCCCGTGTGTTTATTGCCAAAGATAATACAGTGGCGCTGCAACTCACACTACGTGGGGCAACGGCGGAACTTCGGGAGTATCTCGCCACTGCACTACTCTCTTAGATAATAATAGTAGTGATGATATGATATGATATGATGGTATTATGGTTGTTGTTATTATTGTTATTGTTATTATTGTTATTGGTTGCTATGCTGTTCACACCTTGCATATCTTTCGCATTGTTTTGGGCCTTGAATGTGTTTTCTTAAAGGTGTAAATAAATGTTGCAACTCCAAAAAAAAGAAAAAAAAAAATACACCGTTTCACTTTTGTTTTATTTGACGACTCCCACATGCACAATGGGATTTTATTATTATCATTATTTATATCTCTATTTCTCTCTTTCTGTCTGTGTATGTATGTCTGTCTCTGTTTGTGTTTCTCTCTCTCTGTGTGTGTTTGTTTGTTTGTATGTAATGAGTTGGTGGGAGGAAAAGAAACAAATCTCATTCACACGACATCTTGTACTGCCCCTTCAATATTTACCCAATCTCAATAAACACATTGACCAAAGTGTAGTTCTTGTTTAGA